TTTGATTTTGAATAAAAGGACCAAATGTTTTTAGTTTAGTTATCATGTATCTTATAAAGTAAATCGAATTAATTCAAAACAAAATCGAATAAAAAATAGAAAATTTGCAAAATATACAGCCTAATTTAATCTCCTTGACTAGTGGTAAATTTTAATTAAATATAGTGGCACCCGTAGTCATCGAATCGTGGATCCGCCTCTGCATATAGCTCTGCCTCAATCTGGCCCCCTCCCCTGGACTAGGAACAAAAATAGAGAGAGTGCTGAAATGGTGACAAGCCTTTTCTTCATGCTTCATAATGTTAGCTCAATTATTTGGAAGTGCTATTAAGGTGAAAATAGTACATTCCTCTTCTATACTGATGATATATGTAAAAAAAACCAAATTTATTCAACGTCATATTATATCCTTATAGGGAAGTATCAACTGGAAATATGACGAATGAACGTCTATTGGTAGGACCAAAATTGATTACTTGTATTGTATCATGTTTTGATATTTAAAGACAGAGCATTTTGGCAGTAGCTTATTGATGTTAAAATGTTGTCAATTATTGTTGCTACTTTAGGTCCTGCATGCTCTCCTTCAAAAGTTTGCGACCTCTATGGCTAAATATATCCGTTACCAAGCAGACAGTGGAGCTCAAGCAGTTCAGATCTTTGATTCATGGGCCACTGAGCTAAGCCCAGTCGATTTTGAAGAGTTTAGTCTGCCTTATTTAAAACAGATAGTGGAGTCAGTGAAACTAACCCATCCTGATCTCCCACTGATTCTTTATGCAAGTGGATCTGGTGGCTTGCTTGAGAGACTACCATTGACAGGTGTAGATGTAGTAAGCTTGGATTGGACAGTGGATATGGCCGATGGAAGGAGACGACTCGGTCCTAATATTGCCGTACAAGGTAATGTGGATCCTGGTGTCCTTTTTGGCTCAAAGGAATTTATCACCAATCGAATAAATGATACTGTCAAGAAAGCTGGTAAAGAGAAACATATTTTGAACCTTGGACATGGCATCAAAGTAGGCACACCAGAGGAAAATGTTGCTCACTTCTTTGAGATTGCTAAAGGACTTAGGTATTAGAAGTCAATTAGGTGGTCATCAATCTTAACTTGTTCCTAATTTGACACGAGCATTTCCATTTTCTTTTTCTTCGTTTTTCTCATTTGTCATTCTGTATTAAAGCTTATGTGAACAAAGAAAGGAGACACTTCAAAAGCATTTTTGCTGAAATAAAGTCTGTTTACTCTTACTTGAGACTGAAGTTAAAGCTAGGTACTTAGTAACTGAGCTTAAACATTGAAAACAAAATGTTGAAATTCTGATAGTTGAACTGCCTTCACAAGTAGGTATCTAATTCTTTATTTTTTGGTTGCTGCTGCTTTTTTAAACTCTTCCCCCCTGTGATTTGCTTTCCAGCTGCCACGCATCTCTTTAGGATGGGGATAAAATGGTTAAGTACTAGTAGAATATAAATATCATAAGGGGCTATTATGTTGTCTTTTACAAAACGAGTAAGCTAAGTATTGGCCAACGGTCATTAGAATTTAGAAGTTTATTCTTCACACTTAGAATAATGGAGCTGTTAGGTGTTTCTGGGGTACCAGACAGGTGGTGGGCTAAAACAGATGGTAGGAGTTGTGCACTAGTCAACTTTTTTTGAAGATAACTAAGTAGTTTTTGTGACTACAATCACATCAAGGACAGACAAGAGTTTGAAGATGAACAATCTGTCAAGTAGTTATGACCAATAGAAGACCCTTCTTTTTCTTTAAAATTGGCTTCCTTTTTGTTTTATTTTTTATTTTATTGAATTCTTCATTTATTTGGGGTCAAATGGTGAACAGAAAATGGCCCCCCTTACCAAATTTCCACCAACCCATGGCCACACCAATACATAAAATAAAGAGGAGCAAAGCAAATTATTCGTGCTTATGATGCAGTCGTTTAGTTGTTAAATGAAAATGCACTCATTTCTAAAGATGCCTTATAAAATATTAACTAGGTATAAGATTACATAAACGGGCCAAAATTCTTTCTTTGCTACTATTTCTTTTTTTAAAAAAAATTGTAGGAATGGGTGTGGACCAGTGTATAATGGAGAAGGAAGAAGGAAGATTAAAAAGGGGAAGTGCTGCTGCCTGTGAGAATCTAACTCTGGATCACAATTCTACTGTTTTTTTTAATATGAATCGGAACGACAAAGAGTTAAATCTCAAGATTGTGGCAGCAAGATCAGTTTTTAAAATACCCTCTATTTACGTAGTCTTCGATCACAATTCTACTAGGTTATAAATAAGTGGTGCAAGGTAATCAAAAATTAAAATGTTGCATCGAGAATTCCCCACTTGTTGTATCACATTAAATGTGTCTGTATTTAATGTAAAATCAGGATCAATCAACAAATTCTGAATTTCTGATCATGACACATTACAATGGGGACTACTAACATAATTGATGACCAGTTATTACTTGCCTCGTGGATTTTCGAAGCAGTATTTAGGTGTAAAGACTCGCTGCTTAAATTAAAAATAACCGAAAATGCATCATTTATGTATAATAATATAGTTATATCAGTGTGAATTAGTATATAATCTACGTATATTGATTTTAAAAAATAAACAGTGAATCTGACCGGCTATTCGCGGGAAGATACCTTTTGGGGTTTGGGGATACCTCTCCAGAAATGATCCTGCCAAGATACAGAGATGTCGATATCTAATCTTTTATGTGGTCTATAATGCAACTTTAAAAAATCATAGAGTCATCGAACAAAATTTGAGGTTGTGATAATCATGGCTTGTATTATATTGTATCTTTTTTCTTCTATCATTCAATTCGTAGAAACATCTTAATTTTGATTCAACTATGAGTTGGACTTTGTCTTTTGAACTTCTCAATTTTCTTCTTTTTTTGTCTTCTTCAGCTGTAGTTGATTGGCTAAAAAATTACTCCAATAAGGTTACCGTGCCGTACTATTATATGGTTTAATGCAATATGAAAATTTAGAAAAATAAAAAAAGAAAAGTATGACTTAGGATAATCGTTTTGAAGCTTTCATATAAAAAGTAAATCGTGGCCCAGAAATAAACATTTTAAATCTCTCATCTTCCCCAATAAGCTGTTCAATATTCCTACCTACTTTTGCACAAAAAAATTGAAAGAAGATTTGTCTGTAATATTCTTTTCCTTCTAGGCGCCTAAGGAATAAATTATAGATGCCATGGACTCTAAAGGGTAATTTTGGTAAAGAAGAAATATTAATTTTAGTACTTATACAATATTTAGTTTTTGGTATAAATCCTACATAATTAATATAATCCCTATGTAACTAATATAACATCGAATTTCGGTATTAAAAATCGTATAAGTTAGCAAAATCTAATATCAAAAATCAAATGCCAAATTGCAAAACTCTAATATACAACAACAACAACAAAAAGAATATATTCAATGTGATCCCACAAATGAGGTATGGGGAGGGTACACAAACCTTACCCTTACCTTGTGTGAGGTCGAGAGACTGTTTCTGATAAAAGCGTTTTTAAAACAGGTTTGAAAAATACAAGAACAAAGACGCTATGATGAAAATATTGAAGAAAGAAAAAAGTATTAGTAACGAAAATAGTAAGATAACAAATCAAAGGAAACAATAATAGTAATAGAATTGAATAATAATAATAATAATAATAAGGAGAAGATGGAGCAAATAAGGTGCTCTAAGCTAGAACCATGGCTTCCCTCAGAAAAGAAAAAAATCGTTCGAATACCTGCTAATCTTCTACCCTAATCCTCGACCTCCATACTCTCTTATATACGATCATATCCTCGGTCAACTGAATACGTGTCATGTCATGTCTAATCACCTCTTCTCAATTCTTCTTCGGTTCTCTACCTCTATTTAGACCTATCACTGCAACCTCTCGCACCTCTTCGCTAGGGCATCCGTGCTTCTCCTTTAACAAAACTGTGCTATAACTTTTATATATATATATATATATATATATATATATATATATATTACCCATATATATATATATATATAGAGAGAGAGAGACAGGTGAATTAATTTGATCCAAAAATAATAGATGAATTAAATCGAGATATAAAACTTAGCCTTAAAATCGAAATATACGACATATATATTGATTCCGGGCGCAGAGCTAACGAGAGCAATAAGAACAATACATATAAGCAAGAAAGTAAAATGTTATTGAGCTTTTGATAGAATATAGTGTATGCTTGCCAGAAAATTCGTGTCCTTTATAATGATAGTATAACTCACTATTTATAGCTGCACCTAGGGAACAAGGTCTTAGTATTAAGCTCCTATTTAATGACAATTATGAGGGCCATTGAAGGATGTGTAACGGTGGGCAATGAATGCCATATTCTCTGTAACGAATCATGCACTTAATGTTGCATAATATTCTTCATTGAATGCTACCGGATGACGGCATTAATTTTGCCGTTATGAGTATTATTTTCTTCGGTGACAAGCGAGATTATTGCCTTCGGATTTAGCTATCTTCTGCCTTCGATTCCACGTATCGCTTTCTCCTACGATAATTAAATATGAACTTATTTTACTCCGTACATATATGTGTATTAGACGTGATAGAATATGAAATATGGATATAAGTATCATCAATACGTGGTAAGATTAAATACTCCTATTTGACAATTCATGAATAAAATAGTCATAAATTAGACAATTCTTGCTTGACAATCTATGTATTATTCATCGCATAATAATTTATATGGTTATTTATTACTATATGACAATCCTTGCATTATTATATATTGTATAAATAATTCATGCATTATAGTTCCCTCATATTTAAACCATAAACCAAACGTATCTCTAAATATACTTAATTCTCTCTTTCATCAAGCGGTCCACCACGTGTCAAGGTAGAGTTGCACTATTTTGGCCGATTGCAGAAGCTTACCTACCTTTTACTTGCAGACAATTACTATTAACATAACAAATTTAACATTACAACAATTGTATTAAGACAACAGCTTTGTGCGTTTCCTACAAAAATACAGATTCACGAAATTACACATTTACGACCAGAGCTTGTTTTTTTCTCTATTTCTCTACCCTCTTAGCTTCGGATCTTCCGAAGTTGTATTCTCCTACAAGGTTTCTCTTTCGTTAAACCATTTCAGGTTTCTTCTTCTTTTCCTCTTTCTTGGTAATTTAGATCCATTTTCAAATATTTTCTTGTGGATTATTAATTGCATTTTCTGATGATTGGTAGAGAATTCAATAAATTCTGTACATTTATTAGAAAAAATGTTGTGTCTTGGGTATATGATGTGTGAATGTTTCACCTTGTATTCTTGAATTTACAACTATTTAGCATTTACCATTTGTTCATATTTTTCCTTTTCTTTTTGTTGGCCCCGGGTTTTGTGGGTGAGATGGTATGGGGAAGAAATAATTCTGTTGAGGTCTGACGTCTGAATGATTTTCCTTTTTGTTTGAATGTGCTCATGCCAATTTCGGTTCTGGATTTGATCTGAAAAGCGTTAGTCGTATCTCATCAGCTCATTTTTTTGATTTTATATTTAATATATCATGTTTCTTCTACATACTGTATTTCTTTTCTTTCATATTTTGTTAAAAATAAAAGAACCCCTTTCTGGTACAGAAGGGGGCCGGGATTAAATTGGTTTTTCTTTTTTTGCTCCTTTCCTAATCAGTATGCTGGTCTAGGTAGGATCAAAATATAAAGAATCTAATTTTACTATTTTAGATTAAGAAATAGATCTTGCCTTATGATATGACTAAACCTAGCTAAATAATTTATCTTGGTGAGTCATATTCTGGCCTTGTGATAGAACAACTTCTTCAGCTTGAATTTTGTGGTCACGTAAATGGAAGTACAGTACTCCCTCTGTTCCAATTTTTTTGAACGTGTTTGACTGGGCACGGAGTTTAAGAAAAAATGAACGACTTTTGAAATTTGTGGTCCTAAACAAGTCAAAAAGGGTCCAGAGTATTTCTGTGGTTATAAAAGCTTCTCATTAACGGTAGAATTGAAAGTTTAAGCTAAATTGTTTTCAAATTTAGAAAGGGGGTCATTCTTTTTGGAATGGACCAAAAAGTAAATAGGTTTACTAAAACTGGAACGGAGGGAGTAGTATTTATCTTTAATATAAACCTTTTAGCTGCATTTGTGTTCTTGTGGTACAAGGGTGTCATAGTTGAAAAGTTATGTATTCAGATCTTGATATCATCTTTATTTTTTTCTTTTCTGTAATGGATATAATTGTCTTTTGCTACTGGCTCTTCAGAATGATTTCATGTTTAATGTACAGCCACTTGTAATTTGGGCTTCTTTTTCTTATATATCTCCAATTTTCCCTTTTATGTTTAAGTTAACAAATTATTTAGCTCATATTGAAACGTTCTAAGATCTGATGTTCTTTTTCTTACCTTGTGATTTTTCAGAGATTTTGCGACATATCACTGAAAGCAAATATATTTGGGATGCAGAAAGATGGGGTTGAACGACACCTCTTGGTTCTTAGACGCCTCTGATTTTCCGTCTGCATTGGGGTTATTCTGTTTTCTCCATAATGATTTCAAATTTGCAGCTCATACGGCATTTAAGTTCTCGTGCCAGATGCACAATGAAGCCACGGTGCTTAAGCATCCAGTAGTCGTGCTGAAGCACGGCCTTGTTGCAGACGGTTGAATGCCGAAACAAGGCCTCCTGCTCGTGAAAAAAACGAAGTAATCATATCAGCAGGAGAAGAATTATTTATAGTTTAAGGTAGGATTGTTAGTTGAAAATGGAGAAGAAAGGAAATGTATTGATGCAGAAATATGAATTGGGGAGATTATTAGGTCAAGGCAACTTTGCTAAGGTTTATTATGGAAGGAATCTGAAAACTGGACAGGGTGTAGCTATCAAGGTAATTGATAAAGAGAAGGTTCTAAAGGCTGGATTGATAGAACAGACCAAACGAGAGATATCTATTATGGCACTGGTCAAACACCCACATGTTTTGCAGCTATACGAGGTCATGGCAACTAAGTCTAAGATTTACTTTGTGATCGAACATGCCAAAGGCGGGGAGCTTTTTAACAAGCTGGCAAAGGGGAGGCTCAAGGAAGATGTTGCTAGAAAGTTCTTTCAGCAACTGATCACCGCTGTTGAATTTTGCCACAGCCGAGATGTTTATCACCGTGATCTCAAACCGGAAAATCTCCTGCTGGATGAGAATGGAAACCTAAAGGTCTCAGACTTTGGATTGAGTGCATTGGCTGAGTCTAAGAGGCAAGATGGCTTACTCCACACAACGTGCGGTACGCCAGCATATGTTGCGCCCGAGGTGATTGGTAGAAAAGGATATGATGGTGCCAAAGCTGACATCTGGTCTTGTGGGGTGATCTTATTTGTCTTGTTGGCTGGTTATCTTCCATTCCATGACTCAAATCTTATGAATATGTATAGGAAGATAAGCAGGGCAGAATACAAATGCCCTAATTGGTTCCCACTAGAAGTGCGTAAACTTCTCTCTAGGATCCTTGACCCAAACCCTCATACAAGGATTTCAATAGCCAAAATTAAGGAAAGCTCCTGGTTTAAGAAAGGGTTGGAATCCAGGCATGTGAGAACCAAACTAGTACAGAACCAAAATGTTAATGCAGATGGCAATGTTGTTTGCAGTTCGAGTTTGGAGAACAGCATCTCTTCCTCTGACACAAAGCTAGAGTTAGCAAAACCTATGAATCTTAATGCATTTGATATCATCTCTCTTTCAAGTGGTTTTGACTTGTCTGGTCTATTTATAAGAAATTATCAAAAGGAGGAACTGCAATTCACATCGGTGAAGCCTGCTGCGGTCATCATATCCAAGCTTGAGGAAGTTGGCAGGAATCTGAACCTAGAAATAAAGAAAAAAGAAGGTGGATTTTTGAGATTAGAGGGATCAAAATATGGAACTCTATGCATTGATGTGCAAATATTTGAAGTTACTGACTCCTATTACTTGGTTGAGCTGAGAAGGTCAGGTGGTGATGCGATCGAGTACCAAAATATGTTGACACAATCTATTAGACCAGCACTTGAGGAAATTGTTTGGGCGTGGCAAGGTGTGCAATCTCATCATTAGTTAGTAGAATCACTAAAAAAGAGCTTCTTATTTCCAGATGCTCACTCTGTCAGTTTATCTTACTTTTGTATTAAGTAGTATCTAAGCTAATCCTGATTCTGCCTGTTTGGTTTGCTAGTACTAATTGTCATTTTTCACTATGTATCTGCCTGTTTTCAGCACCTATATATCCAAGAAAGCATATTACTGCAAACTTCAAATTGTTTTCCTGGTCGACGATTATTTTGTTGTTTCAGCTCATATATATTCTGCCTTATGCAATCCAAGAAATTCTGCAAGTATTGTTTTGGCCCATGATCTACTAGCCAAGACATCATAGTATAGTTAATGCTTTGGTCCATGATTTAGTGGTTGGAGCTTTTTGATTTAACTTTAACATGATACAAGTATTGTTTAGTTGGTTCTCTTGCTTTCAGAATTTTTTCACAGAAAGAGAAACAAAACTTGAATTATGTTCTATGTTTATTTCTGGACTAATAAGATGGTGATATATGAAGTTCCTTCTTTTTTCTTGTGCATCCAACTTGCTTGTTTTCCCTCCTTTCTAACATTTCAATTTTTTTAGCTTACGTAAAAGTGCAAAATTCATTACTATTTATGAACTAATGCCAATAGATAATACAAATAAAGAGAGAGATTTCGAAATGGTGCACTGTTTCAAATCCAAACTCTGGTAGTTCATGTACATGTATTTAATTATACCTGTAGTTTATTTGTAAATTTTAGAGCTTTGGATCTTGGAGCTTTTCTGTGTTAATTCGTATCTACTTATGAGGTTTGAATTCTGTCCCGTTTGGAAAAGAAGAAGAAGAAGAATTCCATTTTTTGTGGGATTGGCTTTCCATATCTGTGAAGATTCATTATACATAGCAGACAAAGAAAAAAGAAAAAGGAAGGAGCAGAATAGATGAAAATGAAAAACAGCTGAAAAAATAGGAACGTATATGAATGATTAATTATATGGCAAGATGCAGTACGAAAGGTCAATTGAGTCAATAAAATAAATAAAGCAAAATGTTTTTTCTTATATTTAATGTAAAACATTCGCAATATAATATATTGTTTTAGCAATATAAAATATAAAATTAATGTGACAGTCATATGAATATATATGAGTCAATGAAAGTGTTGATGGGAAATTAAATAAGCTTGCAATATGGCACTAGAGGGGGAAGAATGAGGAAAGAATATGACGTATTTACTCGCAATCATTTAGGGATTACAACAAAATTATTAACAAGATACCAAGTGAACAAATCCAGTGGTTCATTGTATTTTTCTTATGATGAACTTACTCTTATGGACATCTATGTCGGCCATACTTTTTCGACAATAATTTTAATTTTCTTTTTTGGGTCACGATGGGATATCTAAACAAACTCTCCAGTCTCCACTTATGGAAGGTTCAGGTGGAAAAAAGTTTTTCGAAACCAAGTGTTTATATCAAATAATACTATTTTATTATATTTAAGTCATAAATTAATGTGAGAATGAATATCAATTAATGATGATTTTCTAATAAATATATTTTTAAAGATATGTGTCATGTATTTATATATTGGATCGGTAAATTTTACCCGTCCAGAGATAACTGATAAGTGATAAATGGCAGTGTCTTCGTGCTGGCTCAAGTTTGAAGAATAAATGTGTTTACCCCAAAAATGGATAGAGTTGAATTTATACGTAGTTCTAAGGATACGTGGTATAACTTGGCACAAATCGAAAAGTAAGTAGAAATATATTGAGTATTGACTGTATAAAGAATGAAATACAAACCAAACTGAGTGGAAAACGGTTTATGAACAAGCAAGAAGAATCAATATACAAAACCCAAAAAGGATAATCTCTATATGAATATCAATATGTTTTTCTCTGTGAATATCAATAATATGAGAGTGTATGAATACCTTAATCTTCGATGCTTTACAGAAATAGAAGCTATCCCTCTTATATTGGAGAAATCCTACTTTAGATATAATTAAAAATACATAGTGGGGATCTCATGATAGATTAGCTTTTCCCTAATTCCCGCCGAGAATCCCTCCCTTAGTGCGGCTGTAACGGCTCTTGTCTCTTGGCTCGATCTTGGTCGGATTTGGTATTGGTCGATTTCCAGATTTAGAGCTCGATATTAACTCGAGCTCGATATTGACTCAGGGCTCGGTATCGAATCGGGCTTGATATTGGTCGGTTTCTGGCTCTTAAGCTCGATGACACCGCTTCACTTCATAGTTCGATTTGGACTCGAGCTCGTTATTTGATCGGTCCCAGAAATTTGAGCTTGGTAACCTGGATTCAGATCTCATCTCGATATTATGAAGATGACCTTCGGTCCATTATGTTCCAATCGCGACTAATCATATGAAGGTCGAAATCGATTTTGACCGTATACAGATAGTCCCCTCGTTTCTCGGAAAGAATGTGCCGAGAAACGACATGATTTTTCAGCGGTATGACTAGATATACACTGACGTTTGTATTGAGCCTGACCATGACGTACGTGATAGATGTCCCGTCAGTTCAGTTACCAAGGCATTAAATGCGTGTCAGACGATGGTCGGCCATTACTAATATTGAACCGTTATTGCCAACCCTATAAATAGCTCATCTTTTTATCATTTTTTACTTTTACATCTCCAATTTCCAAATCTTCTAAGTTCTTTTTCACATCTTCTGAGTTCTTCATCTGTAAATCTGTGATTTCCACTGCAAAATCCCTCTTCAGAATACCAAACCTTGTCATCTTCCTCTATTTTCAATCTTCAAATCCAAATGGCGAAAACGTCAAAAATCGTTTCTCAAAAAGAAAAAGCTTCTTCTTCGCGGCCTGCCGACGATAAAATACCGGTGGAGCCACGNGATGCGAGCCAGCATCGAGGTATATGTGCTCGATAACCGAGGGACATCTTAAACAGTTGAGGAAAAATTGCAACTGGGAGAACAAAGAAGTGATAATCCCGGCTCCCGAATAAGATATTACTACTCATGTGAAATGGTTTTTAAGTGTTTATACTTACCCTTTCACGTTGGGCCCACTCGACCCAGTTGTCATTAATTTTTGCCGCCAATACCAAATAACCTTAGGCCAAATCTATCTTTCTTTTTGGCGGATCATTATTTTGATCCGCTTCTTTATGAACAAAATCGAGGGGATGCCTTTCACCCTCGACCACCTCATTAGATTGTACAGCCCTCGCCTCTATCGAGGTAAGTTATTAAAACTCTAGCGCCGGGCTAACAAAGTGTTGTTCTCGAGCATAGACGAGGACAAGGATCGAGACTGGATGGGCAGGTTCGTTCGAGTGAAGACTTCCGACCTAATCCCGGCCGAGAAGATGCCATTTCCCGAGGAATGGAATATGAAGAGTAAGTATAATTCTACTGTTAGCTCCTATTGTTTTGCTCCTTCGTTTCTTTCTTACCAATATCCTTTTCTGTGATGTAGCGATTGCTTGGATGCCCGGTGCTATTCCTAACCTTGAGAGCTAGGTACGGGACCTGGCTTCGACCTCCACATATGTCGAGCGCTAATGGCGCGACTTATCAAGGGGCCGATGGGAGGCTAAAACTCATGGTAAGCCTCTTTCCCATGTCTTCGATGATTCGAACAAAATGTCTTTTTTATACTTAACCAATTTTCTTGTGTGTAGGTTTGGGCAAAGATGCGGTTATGAGGCCCCCGTCTGGCGAGGAAGAGACTTCGGCCCCGGTTTCGAAACCGGCGAAGGACAACAAGAGAAAAAAGGCTTCTACTTCCGAGGATCCAAAACTTAAGACAAGGACGGCTCGTAAGCCGAGGAAGGATACCATCTTTTTGATCGAAGAATCAGCTCGGCGTCTAAGGGATGAATACGAAGAAGAAGAAAACGATGGGTCCATACTGGTGGCCCGAATGAAGAAAACCATCGATGCCCCAAAGTCAACTGGGTCGATGGCAGTTGATGAGTCTCCGTCTCGAACTGAGGGAATATCGGAGAAGGACTCAGGCAAAGTCCTCGAGTCGTTGGAGATCGAGGATGCCTCCCACCGAAGTCAACAAACAATGGGTATATCTGAAGGGGCCGGCCCTGAAGCTCTTCGAACTGAGGAGAACGCCCCAAGCGACTCGCTTGGGGCAATAGTAATCGGAGACTCGCATACTCTCCCTGCTTTTTCCGAAGGAGCAATTCGGGAAGCCCGAGCTTTGGGGACCCTCGAGGTAGACGGGGCCCATGAGGGAGAGGACCCCTTTCGTGATTTGTTTACCGGTATCGAGGATGCTGCCATCTCGAGTGACGCATCGGGTCTTTTCTTCGAGGTTCAACGAGCCCTGAATCGGGTAAGTCTCAATTACCTTTGTTGATGGCATATTTTTCCATTTTCTGCCTAACTTTTTCTTTTTTTCGTATAGGCAGAGTTTTCCAAGTCTCGGGCAGAGCTGAACCGACGTGAGGCCGACTTTCGAGGGCTTTTGGAGGAGAGAAATGCCCTCAAACTTCTTAGTGGGCATACAAAGCAAGAGATCAAAGATCTTCGAGCCGAGTTGGCCAAGGCTCACCAAGATCAGATAGACCTGATCGAGCAGGTAATGAAAATTTTAAAAGCTCATGGGCTCGACTCGGGAACGGTGGCTAACATTTCAATCTCACAGCTGCTGCAGAAGATCGAGAGGATCGAGCAGTTTCGTGAGGAGGTCGACACGATAAAGGCGGAGTCCTTGGGATAGAAAAAAGGTATGGACCGTCTTGCTGCAGAGAAAGAGACCGCTCGAGCTCAATTATCATCGGTCGAAAGTCAACTTCAAGGCATGAAGGAGAAGAGCTTGGTTTAAGCAAGAAAAATAGAGGATCTCGAAGCTCGGTTAGCTTCCGAATTTGCCAAGGCCGAGAAAGCAAAGGTCTAGGCGGATGCAATCGTGGCCGTCTATCGGGCCGATGCTAAAGTTGCCCAAGTGCAAGCGAGAGAGGCAGCTGAGACCGCTCAAACTCGAGCATATTGGGTTGCTGAACTCTCCAAATGCCAATCTCGGAGGGAAACCCTCGAGGAGATCTATGCTCAAGGTTTTGATCTTACCGAAGAGATACTAAAGGCTAAAGAACTTGAAGCCGATGCTGGTGACCTGGCTTCCGATGATGATGATGATGATGATGAGAGCAAGATTGGGTCTGAGAGCGGGGAGGAGCCCGATGGAGAAGAGACTGCCCCCAAAGATAATCAGGAAACTTAGGGTTTTTTCCATTTTGATCTTTTTGTGTAGGGTCCTGATCGGACCTTGTAAATAT